GTAACTCTTTCCACACAAAGCCGCCTGTACCTCGCGTCCGTCAGCTCGGTGTTGTTTTACGACGCGTAAACAGGTTTTCTAATAGGGGGCAAGAACGACGGTTGAACTGGATACAGAGTTGAGTATGATACAAAATAATGCTTAAATGGCCCTTTTCTCTTCCGGATACATGTCACCTCAGTGGATTTCGCGATTAAGAAAATGAGGTTATCCCTGCTAGACAAACGCCCTGACCACAAACCATTTATTCCAGTCTGAAACCTTGTGGTGTGAAAGCCATACACGGCAAACGTCGATCAGATGACCAGTATAAATATGGAAAAATAAGATGGATACAGATCTGCTTTCAGAGAGGAATATTTCTTTCGGCGATGCATAACCCCTGCCTTATAGCAGCAAAAGTATTGAAATGCTGCGGATACAGCGGACATCACAAATCAGCGGCGATGTGCTTATGCAAACGACTGGAAGCAATGATCTCAACAAACACGACGCACAAACATTAAAGTCAAATGTCCCTAAATCCTACTTATCGATAATCAAGTACTATTTCAGCAGATGCGCAGATTGAGAAAAGGAGGTTTGTCCTGTTAGAGAAACTGGTCCTGAATACACTGCTTACTGTAACCCATGAACATACGACATCGGAGCCAAAACAAAACAGATGTCGGTCAGGAGGCTAGCATGCAATATGAAGGAGCAAGGGGAGACAGAAGATCCGCTTTCGGAAAGAATTTCATTTTAAGATGCAGTAAACGGTGCGACGGTTACAGTTGGAATGTCCATCCTCATTCACTTTCATGATTTAGGCCTATGGGCAACCTTCTTTTCATGAAGTTGATGATGCGGTGCAGATCTCCTTTTCTATGCCATCAGCCAGAAGTACCTTATTTCAAATGCAGAGTCTACAGCCATGTGGCACGCGTTAAGTGTATTCTACTGTCTCCTTCCTACAGAGTGGCGCTCTTTCATCAGCCTCAGAAAAAAGAAGGACGAGTGACAGTGACCGGACTTGAACTTGGGACTATCGTTTCTGCGTTCGACGCTCTGCCTGCTGAGCAACTCCGATCTGAAGCAATGTATGGTAAATTTCTTACTCAGAGAATTCGTGACTAAGACAAAGACTGCACTCGAGATGAGTCGAACTGGCTCATTGAGGAATCGATGTAGACCTCCTATTGGCTGCGCCAACACTCTGCACAAATTCTTTGTGAATGAAGGACTGACTCTTGCGCACGCTTTTTTCGAACGCTCAAGCCAATCCGCGTTCATTACCAGCACGCCCCCCCCCCAGCTGAGGCTCTCAGGGTCGGACAATTCCATAGAGCGTAGCGATGAGTTACGAGCTGGTGACTGTCATACCTGTCATATCATCCATCGCGTGACAGTGACCTGGTAGGACCTGTTATGGCCTATCGACGCCGTCGATCATTCGATGATGATACCACGCGAACTGTCATCACTGAGTGATTCAGTCTGATAGACGCAGTTACGACTAAGCTGAGACATCCATCATCTCCACCCAACCTGTCAGCATTCATCGCTGGTAATATAACTTTCGAAAGGGCTCCACGGCTGCTACGTAAGGTTCTGCAAACGGATCAATATGATGATCACACGAACACATATTACATACCCTTCCTTTGTTACTGAACATGACGTCGAGATTTAGAGACGACGCTTGCAATTATTATTCTCGCTATCAGAGAAAAATTAAATTAATTGCCTTTTTACTATACACCTTCCGTTACAGAACAGAGAATCTGTCAACTGATGTTTCTCTAGTAGGGAAGCAGCCACATTATGAAAGCAGAGACTGCTTTGTGGATACGCACAGCTCTGTCTATAGTCATGTGTAGACACTGTCCAGATGGGAATAGTTAGCTTTAATTTGCTGGCTTTCCGGAAATCTTGTTTCTCAACTATGGGCTAAGATATAAGACTGCAATATCTGAAAATGCTTGAAAGATAAACTCAAATATTGAGGCGTCAGCGACTTTGTTTTCATTTCTGTTTTTGTTTTTTACTTTAATTAACGCGTCTCGACATGGTCCGGAATAGTGACATCCGGAAGAGCCTTGGAATGCAGCCTTTGCTTCTCCAGATTGAGAAGTAACAGGTGCAATGGCTTGGGCATGCGTTGCGAATGGCTCCAGAAAGGAAGGCTAAGCAACTTTTCCTTGCAATCCGACCGGCAGGAGGCCCAGGGGACGGCCAAGATTAACCTGGTGCAAACATATGGGATGAGTGTGTTCCATATTGCATTTGTCTTTTGCCGATGCTCAGACTGTGGCACAGGATCGGGAACGTTGGAAGCACTGTCTGACGTGTCTGCCTCCGCGACCCGAAAGGAGAAGCGGCGATGGATGATGAAGATGAAGATTAATGCTAACTAATAGTGAAATATTAATAAAGCATGTGCATGCTTTTTCTTCCACCGCAGAACCCGGCCACTGGAAACACTCAAAACTATTGCGATAAAAGAGTGACTGCCTCGATAGGAGGTTACCATTACTGTCATCCTGAATATCAATTATTGGTAATCGAAATTTTACGTGAGTAACAATGTGTAATACGCAATTCTTTTTGTTTCTCATGACACAGCAACGATCGGGTGATCTCATAGCTGTAATTGCAGTCCTTATTGCCATTTTACTGCGTCCGGAGTAGGCATGTGAGTTGCCTTTGTTTTGTTCCCCGGCAGATGTTCCCGATGAATCGCGTTGCACGACCACTCATGCACGGCCGGAGGTCAGATCTGTTTGTGTTAAACGTTCGTTCAATACCCTAGCTCTGTACTGGCAAGAGATGGAAGCTGCGATCTGGAGGTACAGCGGCGCTTAGGGCTGCTAGCATCTGCTAACTTTGGGCGACTTTGTAAAGTGAGACAAGACCCATCGATCCAGATAGGTCGTACAAAGACCATACTTAAAGCCGCCGTCTTTTCTATTCTGATGTACAGCCTTGAAGCATTAACCCTGTTAGAACACCAAGAAGAGATTTTGAACACTTTACAGCACGGCTGTCTGCGGAACATTCTGAAAGTGCGATGGTTCCATCGAGTAAAGAATGAAAAGACCTTGAAAACGACCGGCCTCAGAATACCGTCTGAAGGAATTGGGGGCTGGCATCCGTTGTGGTTTGAGAGAACCATGTGGAGAGAGTGGAGACTTATCCAAAACTGTTCTCCCGTGGGAAGTAAAGGATGGCCGTAGGCACGTTGGAGGCCAATATCGCACCCTAGCGCAGCTGCTAGAGGCGGACTTGATTGCGACGAGGAATATTATGCCTACCGCAGCAACAAATGTCGCTTAAATCATTCTCAGAAGCCAAAGCGTCGCTCAATACTTGACTC